TTGGCGTGATTTCATGATATAGAATACAAATTTTTTTTAGAAGAGGGGAAAAAAGAGGTGCTTAATGTTTATTGAAGTATCTTTGTATCCATAAAGTGTTGTTTGTAACACAAACCATCTCAATGTAAAAAAGTAAAAACACGGAATTGTAAACAAATAAGCTCTTCGTAAGTTCTTTAGAACTATTAACTTTACTCTATAATGATGTGGTATATACAAGCATTCTCATAGTTGACATCTTTTGCAACATATGCAGGTTTCTTCTTTATTTTTTCGTAGTAGCATTAATCATTATGGGAGACTTTATGGTGTTATGCTCATCAACTATGGCAAAGATATAATTGGATTGACACAAACGTCTCTTTTCATATTTATAGTTGTACCTGGTTTACTAAGGTGCTTTTTGCTAGTTGTCACTAAGCTTAGACGCTTCATTTTCGCGGTTAGGATGCTGATTTCATACTCATCAGGGCCCATTTTTGCTGCAAGAGCTTGACATCATCCGTAAACGAACGTAGACCAGCAAGCGATTCTTTAAGCTCTTTCGGCGAGGGCTCCTGTACTTTTTTTGACGCGCTTTTCCTGGAAGCTGAAGTTTTTTTGACTTTGTCGGTCTTGTTTCGGTTTATTCTTCCCATAGGATGTGCAAACGGTGAAAAAAAGCCCGTTCAATATATTTAAAAAGCTTTAAGTACCAGAAAAGGGTACCGACAGATACTTGTAATACATAGGCACTCGGATGAACACCAACACATCCGATTCTGGCGTCAAACGGCGTGAACTTATCATCACTTAACTCAGTTGCGAAATACTTGCTTTCCAGTTACGAATGCGAGATGCCGAATGCGAACAATGCTATTTCTCCTGTACGAAATTTGATTTTCTTCAGTGCGAATAATTAGTTAGCACCATAGCGAACTACTGCTTGCCCCATGCGAAAAATAGGCACTTCCATAAACGAACATTCGTACACCCGAGAACGAAAATATAGTTGCTCAGTAACGAACATCTTCTTGCCCACTACGAAAAAAAAATATTCCCACTTGCGAAGTTCGGACAACCCAGATACGAACAAGCTGTTGCCCAGATACGAAAAATAGCCAGCCCGTAAACGGAACCGATTCCGCGCCCGTTTACGAAAGCTGTTGTCCCACAAACTAAAAGCTTGTCCCACAAACCAAAAACCACCCACCCCCATACGAAAAATCTGCCACCCATATACCAAAAAATGCTCCTCCTGCATACCAAAAATATCCTCCAAAGTACGAAGAAATAGAAGGCCGACAGCGGTATCGAATGCAAAATCCTGTAAAGTCTTTTTGTCCCAGGGAAATATTAGCGTAGTATACCTCAAATTGCTACATACTCTTTCTTTTGAGCAGTGTCACTATTAAATTGAGCGCAGTGACTTCATATTGATTTAGCCTCTCAACTTTTGATGCGACACCATAACCCTTCGTCGGGTACCTTTATCCTCCTTACTGGGAGGATAACACTCTCATTAATTTAACTTGAATGCTACAGCGCACAAAATAGCACGATCATTTTCTATACAACAAACGCGTCAATGTTTTCCCGTATTTGTGTGCAGCGGAAGCAATTGCAGGAAATTCATGCATCGGGAACTTGCCTTCCCACGAGTCCTGTACAAACTCTTTACTCCTTCCCGTTCATTCTTTATCCATTCATGACACATTAGCAATAGGTTATCAAAAGAAAGGGCAGGTCTTTAGCTTTAACATGATACTAATATCATGTACAGTTACGACGATAATTGCGGCGGAATATTGCTTTGGAAATTGCCTAGTCTTAAAAAGACGATGCCAGGTTTCCCTTCCACCGTGTCTAAAACTTGTTTCTCCAACAATCGAATCTGAAACATGCAGTTGCGACAGTGCCCTCTTCTTCCTTCCTTTTCAAATAAACTGACTATGTTCGTCATTCAGCAAAGAAAGATTCATGTAGAGCAGAGCCGTGGCTATAGAATGATGCCAATATTGATACAATCCTCGAATTATAAACGACGACACTATAGCTAATAATGTAGAATGGTCAATGAAAAACGATCGTTTCTCTGCCGCACTGTTGACTGAAACATGCATTGTGCTCTTTCTTAATGTTGACCTCATCGCCTATGCGCTCGTTTGGCTATTGGACAACAGACAAATCACGCAATTGCCAAAGAATCTAATCGATTGTTCCAATTATTCACAACGAATCTTATATAAAAAGGTACGCGTACCCACCCATCCATAGTTCTTTGGCCTCTTATCTTCCGCTTCTTTCTCCTTCTCCTTCTCCTCCTCCTCCTCGTCACCAACTGTACGTATAACTCTTGGGAAACGGGATCCATCGCATGGCCGTGCGTGTGGTAGTGTGCATGTCTGTCAAGAAGTATCACGACGACTCACGATCAAATCTCTTGCTTTCTTTCATTTCTATAGCCGTCTCCTCCTCGGCCTCGCCCGGTTACTGCTTTAATGGAGGAGAGAAGCAAGAGTGTACATGGTGTGTGTCAAAGATGATGATGACTGTGCTATTGATTACTCACGATCGAGCCTTAACCAAAAATTCCCTTCCACAAAATAATTAGGAGGTCACCCGCGAACACATGGAGAGAATCGACAACAAGATTTTCAACGGCCGCTCCGTTAATACTGAAGTAAAGAGACTCATCGCCTCAGCCTCCTCCAACGCGAACCTGAGTCAAATGTTTGTCGGTAAAGTATAGATACACGTCTCCCATCTGTTTCTGATCTATTGACCTTATGATGACTAACATTGTTTACCGTCTGTATATGTTATATACATAAATAGGTTGGGCACCATACATTTAAAATCCAATAAAGTAAAATTGCAAATATAATATGTTCCTAGCATATACATGTATACGTTTAAAAGTTTTGGTTTTTATTTAACGTCTCTTTGAACACTGCGTCTGGGGGGGACATTTTGCTCGAGACAGGACTGAGGGGGTATGACGGGGTAAAAACCCTGTGTGTGGCACAGGGAAAAGGTTGTGAGTGAGAAGACTGAGTATCTGCTTTAGTTTAGCTGGATGAGAAGATATAGGTGTGGGAGATGTATAGTTGAAGACGTGCGAGGGATAACGTTATATGAATGGGGCTCTCTTTTTGTTTCTTTTTGTTTTTTTTTCTTTTTTTGTCTGTCTCTTTTTCAGAAGTAAACATACTAGGGCGAATATACTAAGAGGTAAAGTAGAAATAAGATGTTGACCTACATTGCTTGCGGAGGAGGTGGAGTGAGCCAATTTATCAATGCTTGTCCAGGAGTTGGATCTTCGTATTGTTGTTGGTTGCTATCTGGATGTTGGTGTGCGTCAAGTTCCGCTAGAATTTGGCAGAGTGTTGGCCAAATTTTGGTGAGAGCCTGTATGCGGTTGGACGATCGTGGTTTTGATTTCGGTAATTCGTTGAAGATCCAGCTGATGGGATCCTGGTGTAGTTGTGCAGATACATTTAGCCGCTGATGCATGCGCAAACAGTATATGGCATGTTGTTTGGTGTAATCTGGCGCGTGACAGCTTTTGCAGGCTTTCCTACGTCCACCTGGCAGCCATCCAATCCGCCATCGTATACAGCGACTTCTTTCCTTGCGAGTCATGGGTAGCCACATAACCGAATCGATGCCAAGTGTTGGACGACAACATTTGAGGAGTTTGGTGCGCGTTGGCGACAAACGGAGTGTATCAAGATTGTTTCTGAGGTATTGTCGGATGAGTTGTTTCAGGGCCGTACGGGAGAGATCCGGGAAAGATTCAGTGCATAGAGGGATGATTGGTGATTTTCGCTTTAATTTGCTCCAGTAGCTACTCGCTTGTGCCTCCAGTGCTGGTAGGAGTGTTGGAAGAAGTGCGTCCTCTGGTAGATAGGTTGCCCGATGTATGAATTTTGCTTGGAGGATTGCTATGCGTTCTGTCATACTGGGTAAGTTGGCGAGGTGACGCATGATCTTCGTTTCTGAGTTGGGGTGTGCGCCATATATCAGACGGAGGCATGTATTCTGGCCCTTTTCTAGGGTATCTTGTTGTTTTTTTGTGAGAGGGGTGATTGCTAGACCGTATTCCAGTTTCGGTCGTATAAATTGAGCGTACAGTCGGCTGGCCAACAGACGCGATAGGCCAGACGGTTTGAGGCCTATGTTGTTGAGGATTCGCATACTGGTGATTCCTGATGCGGTATTGTGTTCGATAAGCTGTTGTCCATCAAGAGAACCGCGGTTGTTGATTGGGACTCCGAGATATTTAAAAGAGGTTTCATTCGGGATTGGTGTATCATATAGTTGAAATGTGGTAGTTGAGTGTGTTGTTGGTTGTACAATCACACATTTTGTCGGGCTCCAACGGTATCCTGAATCGAGACTGTGTTGCTCACAAAGGTTCAGTAGGTGTTGCATGTTGTCGTCTGAGCTGATAAGTACTACGTCGTCAGCATATAGTAAACATGGTAGATTTGGTAATGAGCTGTTGAGCTGCTGGGTTGAAGGGCGTCCTCGGCGTCTTGGTGCTGGTGGTGGTGTCTGGAAATCATCGTCATCTTGGTGGTTTATTGATGGTGTAGGTGGTGTCAATTGGCTCACTCCTCCGCCGCTAAGCAATGCTGTAGGCTATTGATGTATAAGGAATATAGGAAAGGTGATAAAATGGATCCTTGTAGGACCCCAGTAGTAGGTGAGAAACGGGGTGACGCAGCATTGGAGATCACAACTTCGATAAGCACATCGTTGAATAGATTTTGTATCAATAAAAGGAGGGGTCGGGGGACATTGTCTTTCAATAGTTCCCAGATAATCGTGCGATCAACGGTATCATATGCCGATTTGATATCAAGGAAGGCTAATGTAGGTGTTACGCCAGTGGTAGCTTTATGGATTCGACAAAGTTCTTGGAGGCAGAATGCTTGGTCGAGTGCACCGCGTGCTTGTCTGAATCCTCCTTGGGCTATATCCAGGGGTGGGCTATATTGCTGTAGAGGCTCTTGGAGGCAATATTCCAGGATTTTCCTTAGTACAGATGTAAGACTTATTGGGCGGAAATTCGCCGGGTCATCGGGTGTGCCCTTCTTGTAAATGGGTAGTACTTGTGCTACACGCCATGCCTCCGGGGTATACGATCCCATCCAACATAATTGGAAGAGATGACATAAGAAAGGTGCAAGTGTCGCGGCGATAGGCTTTAGCATTTCACTTCGTACATGGTCGATTCCTGGGGCTTTCCTAGACGGTAGTCGTTCAATAGCAAGGGCGACGACGGCAGGCGTGATAGGACAATCGACTGTTGTCGGTGTTGATGTTGTATGGTTGTTAGATGTTGACCTTGTGTGATCATTTATGATTAGGTGACCGTCATAAACTGATGTAAGGTGTTGGGCCATAAGATTAGCTGCCTGTTGTGGTCCGTCTTGATGACTGAATGTCGGTTGTACTGTGCGGCGATGCCGGATTTTTTTGATTATTGCAGTTCTTTTGCTGTACTCCTCGGTCTCTAGTCGAGAGCAGAAAGTGCGCCATGTTTGCCTGCTTCGCTTTGTCATAGCTCTGCGTGCTCTTGCATCTGCCTGTTGGTGTTTGAGCCACCATGTCAGTTTATTCATACCATATGCACGTCTCCACTTCCGGTAACACAGTTCTCGGTACTCGACGAGGCGCTGAAGTTCTACAGTCCAGAATTCAGTGCTCGCTTGTCGTCCTCCAGTTGTTGCACCTAAGGTCGTATCTAAGGTCTCGTATAGTGTGTCATAAAATCGATCCGAGATGTCGTCGATGATAGTTGGCAGTTCTATACGTTGCGAGGTTTGGTGGGTGGCGCGTTTAATGCAGTTTTGCAGGTCGTTGTTGAGTGGTTGTAGCTGTTGTGCAAATGTTCTGGTGTAAGTTCGTCGAAAATCAGCGTCTGCAAGTTTACTGAGTCGCCATAATCTTCGATGATTCGCAGTTTGTTGAGTTGAATCCCTTGTGGTGAGGCGGTCAGTCTCATAGCTGAACTGAATCATTTTGTGGTACGAGTCTAATGATAGATCGTCGAAGATAGTCATTTTGTGGATTTGTGCAATTTT